AGGGCAGGAGAAAGCTAATGCTTGCAGGAGCCAGAACCAGGAAGGGTAAGAAACATTTCTCCTCAAATAATTTATATTAAGAATTCACACTCTGCCCTGGCTGACGTGGCTCAGTGGGTTGGAGCAGTGTCCCGTCCACCAGAAGGTCATGGGTTTGATTCCCGGTCAGGGCACATACCTAGGCTGTGGGTTCGATCCCCCTGTTGGTGCACATATGGGGGGCAACAGATTGCTGTCTTTCTCTCCCATCGATGCTTCTCTCTCTCTCTCCCTTCCTCCCTCTCTGTTCGCTTTTCAGTCCTGATGTCACTTATAGGCTGGGCAATCTGGATAAAGGCTCGAAATTCAGATAAAGACACAAAGACTCATCTGTAAAATAAAGATGTTAATGAGGAATTCCACGGCCCTCTCGATGAAGCCGTGAAAACTAAATGATGTAAGGAGAGAATAAGCTTTGTGAAGTGCTAGGTAAACGTCAGATGCCATTCACAAAATACTCTGCCCCGCGCCCTGCCCTTCTGAGAACCACAGTTCTCGAGCTGCCTGTGGGAGACAGGTCCAGGCCAGAGCCCAGGAAGCCTCCAGAAGGCTGAGAATAGGTATGAGGTCAGCAAGGAGCCCCAGGACAAGCCTCCGGCCTGTGAGCTGTGGACAGTAGCCTCTGCAGGAGTGCAGATGCTCTGCTCGCTCAGCAACACACAGCCCTCAGCTATTGTGCTATTGTCTCTATTTTGTTGTATCCTTTAAAAAAATGATGACATTTATTTTGCCTGGCATTTGTGGCAATAGTGGATGAACTTGTTCTTTATGAGGCTTATTTATAAACTTTGTTGGGGGGACATCTAGAGTTACTTTTACTCTAGGGCTAATTTAGCCCTTCTGCAAAGGCATAATATTTCTGGAGTTTCTACTGAATCCTCTGGACATTCTACGAGGTCTTTTCCTATTGGCTGGTAGAAACTCAAACATCTCCCAGCTCTGTGTGAGCCCCTGGGAACCAAGCAGATCATGTTCCCTGGCAGCTCTTTGCCTAGCAATGTGGAGTTTCACTCTATGAATGTACAGCAGCACACTCAAGAGGATCAGGCTGCTACACTCCCTCCACTCTGGTACTCTATGTTGAAAAGTCTCCTTACCTATGTTCTCAGTTCAGCCAAGTCACTGTATTGTGGTCTAGTCTAGTTCCCCTTCACTAGGCTACAATTCAGAAAGTACTTCCAGCAGAAAGTTGGGGTGATGGTAGAGCCTGCCTCACTTGTTCTCTTCTTTTAGGAATCACAGTCCTGTGCTATATGCTGTCCACTCTCCAGAAACAGTGGTTTCATATATTTTGTGCAATTTCCAAGTTATTAGAAAGGTATTGCAGGTTGAATGAGTCCCCCCAAATCTATGTTAAAACCTAAAGCCCAAATTGTTGGTATCAGTAGATGGGCCCTTCCAGAGGTGAACAGGTCACCAGGGCAGAGCCTTCATGATGGGATTAGTGCCCTTATAAAGAGTTTGGACAGAGCTCCCTAATCCCTTCTACCATGTGAGGTCACAATAAGAAGTCTGAAACCCAGAAGAGGGCCCTCACCAAACCACACCACTGCTACACTGATCCCAGACTTCCAGCTCCCAGAAACATACGAAATACATTTATGTTGTTCATAAGCTACCCAGTCTGTAGTATATTGCTATGGCAGCCAGAATAGACTAAGACAGAAGGTAGGTATAGTACCAGTTACTTGGGTACGGTAGAAATGTGAACCTCTACACGAAGCACAATCAATATTATAGTTCCCAATTAAGTACAAACCAGTTCCCCTCCACCACTAATCCTGCACTCTGTCTACCCTAGATGGCTCTCCATTCCCAAGAAGTTGTGTGCTGTTCCTTCTTGCCCTGGTGTGGGGCTGTCTTCCCCGGGCACTCTTATGGTACTCTTACCAGGCTCTTAAAGCCCAGGCAAATGACACCCTTCTGCAAATCCTTCCCCAGCACACACAGAGCTAGCTAGGTACTAACAGCCTCCCCTGCACTTCCAGAAGCCTGTTCTTTATCCTCTACCACAGCACTCATCACATTATAGACTAATTATCTATTTGCTCATCAGTTCCTTTCTGCCTCCCCCTCCAGCAATTGTAGCTTTCCAGCTCTTTGTCCCCTGCCCAGGAATAAAGCCTGGCATCTAGTAAATGCCAATAAATGCTTGTTAAATGACATACTGGATGAATCAACGAAGAGTAGGAACTACAGGAAAAAGAGAAGGCTAAGTAGAGATTTCACTGTTCTCACACAGATGATTGTGTATTTTGACACACACAGCTGACACAAAAGAAGAAAAGTAAGCACAGAGCATATGGGATGCTTGGAAACAAAGTTGATATCTGTCTCTCAAATCCCTGACATTTGAGAACTGGTTTTGTTGTTGTTTTTATCACTTGAGGCATTATCCTCTTGCCCATAGGAAAGTGAGGTTTCTGTTAAGATCTGTTTGGTCCTTCCAGCTAACCCATCTGTGGGCTGACCTGGGGCATCTAGGATAATTCTTCCCTCCCACTCCACATAGACACTAGTGGAATCAGCCCAGAGGTCTAAGTATTTTTGGCAGTCAGTTTTGGCTTTTCCATGGGCCAAAGGGATGAGGTCACCATCACCAATGAAGTCACCTCTGCATGATTCATCTGACATCAGTTCCCCACGTGAAGCGCTCTGACATTTTCAGAGCTTCTTCCAGACCATCCAGAACTGGGAGTCCCTGACATTTTTCAAGGTTCTGGAGCTGATCCTCCCGCTCCCTGGATCCCTAGTAAATATCTGCCCCAATAAGAACTGGGAGGCCGGAGTCATGAACTGGGGAAGTCCCCCTCCTCCTGTCCTGGGGCAGAGCTTGTCAACTCTTATAAAGGCTGTCCCTATGTCTCCAGCAGCTGCTTCTTCTCTTGTCCCAAAGCTGTCACCAGGAGCTCTCAGGACACATTCTGAAGCACCTTCAAGGGTGAGACCTGATCTCATTCTTAGGGATGCACTCACATTTAGAGATGAGAAAGCTGAGGCCAGAGAAGTGGGCCTCTAACTAGAATCAGAGCTGGGACCAAATGAACTCTCTTGGCTGAGTACACTCCATTAGCTCCTGATAGAACTTCCTTTCAGAATACTAGTCCCAGCAAATGCTGCATGAAGAAATGGCCCTATAGGCAAAGGGAGCAAGTTCTCCTTTCTTTCCCTCTAAGTGGCAGAAAGTGGCCTTGGACCAAGATCTGATTTCAATGCTGCCTTTCTTGTCATTCATACAAAGTATCTTCCAGATTCATTGCACAATCTAAACAGTGAGCAATGCAGATGCCCACCCACACTTAGATGCATTTGGAGGAGTCAGGTGAGATCTTGAGGTGATTCCATTAGGAACTATCAATAATCCAGGAAGTCCTCCTGGGACAATGGAAATCAGATTTGGGGTTTCAGAGTTGAGGCCTCAGAAGTGAGGAACGGGGACATAACAATGAGCATTTCCCAAAGTGAAATGTCCTTGAATAATGGCATTAGCTGGAAGCCTTTGGTATAACCGCTTCACCTCTCCAGGTCTGTTTGCTTACCTACAGCCTAAGGGAGTCTAAGGAAGATGGTCCAGTTGACCTCTAAACTGCCTCTCAACACAGCATTTTCTAATCTTGTGAATCAATGAAAGGAAGTGGTTTATCTCATATCAGCAGAGGGTGGGGTGCAGTGTCAGGGTGGAGTGTACCCAGCCTCCTCCATCTCTCTCTCTCAGTGTCTAATGTTCAAAGCAACACTATTGGTAGGTGAATGGGACCTGGGCAGCCAGGTGTTTCCAAGCTTTGCCCAGACAGAAGGAAAGGGGTTGCTACCTGGATCACAGGCCAAGTCTTGGGGCACCCTAGTGCATCGCTCCTCGGGGATCACAACCTAACACCTTCGAGGGGCACTGGGGACTGCACGGGGGCCTCAGAGAGTGTCTCCTCCAGGGGGAACAAAGGTACATTTGTGGCATCCACAGCCATCGGTGTCTCCCTTTTCTGGCTGGTTGTGGAGTGCTTCAGTGATTCAAGATGCTGTAACTCCCTTAGTCATCAGTTTCATAGTAAAGGATTCAAGTTTCTGCTGTGAATGGTATGGGTGGTTGTGGGAAGGGGGCCCAAGCAATTAGCCAGGAGTCCCTACTTTCCAACCCAGAGACCAGCCCCCCCCTCCCCCATCACTCCACGCACCTTTAAAAAAAATTTTTTTTAACCCTCCTGGTTTTTCTTCCTTCCCGATTTCTAGTTCCGTTGTGCGCTTAGAGGTCGATGGATCCTGCCTTCTGGGTGGAGTTTAAATATATATGTATAATTTTGCATGACTATTGCGTCATCGTTGGAGCCGTCGTAGTTCCCCAAGAGGCCTCCTCGTCTTCTTCCAGCACTGGGGCCTTTGGACGCTTCGGGGCGCTGCGGACACTTTCGCGAAGAGCCCTCGGCTCCTCCCAAGCGCTTCCCTCACGGCCCCCTCCCCCAGCCTCACCTTTCTCCCCTCCCTCCTCCTCGGCTCCTCCTCCTCGGCTCCTCGCCGCTGCCCTCGCGGGGAGTCGAGCTAGGGCAAGCCGGCAGGGCCCGGCGGCGGCCGCGGGCGGGGCGCAGGAACCGGCTGGCGGGCGCGGGCGGGCGACCCGCACTCGGGGGAGGCGCCTCGGCCCGCCCTCCTCCAGGGCCGAGCGCGGAGGGGGCCCGGACCCGCGCGGGGCGGGGATAGACGCCTGGCCCCTCCCCTCTCTACCCTCCCCAAAGTTGCGGTCTCCCCGGGGCCGGACAGTCTTATGATCCAGCGGATCCTCCCGGGGAGGCCGGGCCGGAGAGAGCGTGCGGGTGCCGAGCGGCTGGGGCATCGATCGGGCGCGGCGACCGGGGCCCGGGCAGGGATCCGAGCAGTGACCGAGGCGGCGGCAGCGCCCCGGCCCCGCCGCCCCCTCCCCTTGGGCGGGGGGAGCCGCTGCATGGGGCCGGGGGGACGGCCCTGCTGCGCGGAGCGGCTGCGGCGGCGGACCCCCCAGGCGGGCTGGGGTTGAGCCCGGTGCCGGGGCGGGGGCTCCGGGGGGACCATGCCCGGAGGCCGGCCGGCCGCAGCATGGCTCACGGGCCCGGCGCGCTGATGCTCAAGTGTGTGGTGGTCGGCGACGGGGCGGTGGGCAAGACGTGCCTACTCATGAGCTATGCCAACGACGCTTTCCCGGAGGAGTACGTGCCCACCGTCTTCGACCACTACGCAGGTAAGCCTCGGAACGGCCAGCCAAGGGGCTGCTCGCGGCCCGGGAACTTTGGAGCAACTTTCGCGGAGCCCCCTCGCCGCCTCCCCTGAGCGCTCCCTCCCCTCCCCCGCCGCACCCTCCGCGGGCGGCCCGCCCCACCTCCAGGCTTTGCCTCGGACCAGCCCCTTGGCGGGCCGATTGGACCCCTCTTCCTGCCCCCACTTACCTACCCCCGCACCCAGTGCCCGCACCCGCACTTCCCAACCCTCTTGGCATCCTGGGCCGACCTCCTTGACCTTCCTAACAACCGCCTCCCTACTGCCCCAAGCCCCCCGGGAAACATTTGGGGGACCGTCGGGAGGGATGAGGCTATGTGCGGGACTTGGAAGAAGGGAGTGGGCTGTAGCTGGGGGATACATTGCACCCCGACCTTACGCCACTTCATAGTGAGCCGGGCACAAGGGAAAAGGGGTGACATCTCATGCCTCCAGCTGGATTGGGAGTGGAAGGTCCTGGTGGGGAGCGAAACTGCCCCAGAGTCTAAGTAATTGTGAGCTTCTCTCCCCACCCCCACTTCTGCCCCTGCAGTCAGCGTCACCGTAGGGGGCAAGCAGTACCTCTTGGGACTCTATGACACGGCCGGACAGGTGAGTGTCTTGGCCGCTGGCCTACATCCCCTTCCTTTTCTAGATTCTGGGTGCTTGCGAAGGGCCCTTGGAAACTGAGGTGGCCAAGGAGGGAGGGCGTGTATGCGAGGGGTTGCTCTGCATGAAGTCTTTATTTTTTCAAGTTAGCAAATTAGGAAAAGGTTTTTAAAAAAACGCAACAAACCCCAGACCAGTCCACCCCACCCCATGTGAACAACCTGGGCTGTGAAAGTTTTTGCCTGTCTGCCTTCTGTATGGTGCCTGGCGTGTGGGTCCCAACTCCTGTTGCGAAGTGCCAGCGGCCAGTTGTGAAGCGCCCTTATGGCCAGGTCTCCCCCTCGCAGCCTCTGTCTGGTCCCTCATTGGTGAATGGTCTGCCTGCCTGAGGAGCCTGATTGGTGGAAAATGGCATCATCTAATATGATGGGAAGGCTTTGGTCCTGGTTATGTTTATTACAACATCACTGCACTCTGGGACTGGAGTCCCTGAAAACATAATTTGTGTTGTTACCGGGGGACCACAGGGAAAAAAGAAAAGAAACAACAACCATTTAGCCACTCCCTGGGGCTGGGAGGGGCTGGAAGGGTTAGGAGTTCAGTATGAATCTTGGGAGAAGGGCTTTATTTATTTATTTTCCCTAAGAAGGCCAGGTGACTGGCTTTTTTTCTGGGAGAGATTATTGTGCAGAAAGAAAATGCACTCTTCTCCCGGCAGCCTCTGACCATTATTTGCAAATTAGAGGTGCTCCCGAAAGGTTAAGGTCTCTTCTCTCTTCCTCCATCCCAGCTCCACCCTCTTCCCAATCCACTTTTGCTGTGGGACTAGATTGTACGATGAAGTTTTGTAGAATCCGGCCCTGTGATTAGATCTGGAGACTCCTGAAGAGGGTTGGGAAGAAGTTTCCACATGTCATGCAGACTTGGGTCCTTGAGGACATGTGAGCAGCTGAGGGGCTTAGTGAGTGTCTTTGGGGAATGTCCAGTAGTAGCTTTCTTATCTGTAAAATGAGTCTGGTACATACTAGGTAGGAGCTCAATAAAGGGGAGCTGTTCTTGGTGGCTTTTCTAGTTTTTTATTTCAGAATTGTGGTACCAGGCTTTCTGAAAAATGCCTTGTTCAGGGGGTTCCTTGATGTGACCTCTGTTTTCTAAACTGTTAAGTTGAAGGAACATCAGAGAATTGAGAAACTGTTGCAATGAGGGGTACTGAGACTTTCCCCTTTCTCCAAACTGACCCAAGTCAGTACAACCAGTTCTGGGCCCCTTTTGGTTGCCTGCCTTATAGTTATTCCTTCTAGCTATCAGAATGCACGGAGACCAACTTTTTGACCAACTTTTAAGAAGCGCAGTGGACTTTTTATTTTATCCTCACCTGAGGACATTTTTGCATTTATCTTCAGATAGAGCAGGAGGGAGAAAGGGAGGAAGAGAGAGAGAGAGAAACATTGATGTGAGAGAGACACATTGACTGGTTGCCACCCACATGACCCCAACCAGGGCTGGGGACAAACTGCAACCGAGGTGCCCTTAGTGGGAACCGAACCCTGGTCTCTCTGGTCCTCAAGCCAACACTCTAACCACTGAGCCAAACCGGCCAGGGCAGCACAGTTGACTTTTAAACATCAGGTTGAAATTAATGGTTGAAAGGAGACAGGGTTTAAAATACAGTCTCTATTTTTAACTTCTGTCACTACCCCTTCTTTTTTTTCTTCTTTACTTGTCACCATGACCAGTTTTTGACCACAAGCTCTATCCAGCAGGACATGTATATGTCAGAGCTGTTCTGAGAACATTCAAACCCAACTGATATTTACTGAGTTTCTTCTGTATATCAGGCATGGTGTGACCACATGCAAATATTATTATATTTTCTCCACAAAACAACCTTATGCGATAGGAGCTATTCCATTTTTGCAGATGAGGGAATGGGCTCAGAGAGGCGAGGTTGTTGACCTAAGATCACAGCTACTGAGAGGTATTGCTGGGTTTAGGACATGGATCTGAATCTGCCCTGCTTGGAGGTGGTTATGTGCACAGAAAGCCATGGGAGGTGCTGAGATACCACCTGGGTTGATGAAATTGCTTTTGTGTCTGTAGACATGGTATTTGGAATCTTCGCAGACATTCTCTGAGTGGGGGTTGTATGCCATCTTTACAGAGTAGAGAACACAGATCCCACTCACAAAACCAGGGCTTTCCATATGTCATCATAATTGCTGTTTCCCATGGAGATTGTAAGATATATACCACGTGGGATCAACCTATTAGTAAGGTTCAAATATTACTGTTTTTGCCCAGTGGTGGGACACCTCCTCTATTGGCCAAGATTTTGTTTCTCCCAATGTCTAAGTCTTTTGTTTTGGGATCAAAGTTAGTCATAATTCATCTTTTAGCACCTAAGGATATATTATTAATAAGCAATCTTAGCAAAGTCATCATCAGTGAGATTAAATGGCAAGTGCCTACTGTGTACCTAGCACTGTGCTAAGCTCCTAGCACAGCAAAAGAATACATTTATGATAGGGGTCTGCCATGGCTGATGACAGCATAGGGGGAAGTGTCTGGATCAGATGCCTGTTTATGCATGCTATGTGGGCGATTTCTGAGTTGTATTTGGCCATTAAGACCCCATGCCTCTATGAATAGGTATCAGATTAATCTTACGATAACAGTAGTGATAAACACATGCACACACACATGAACATTTTTAAGGTTGATGGGCAGTAGAGGAAAGCCCATGGGCTTTGAAACCAAACAGGTTGGGGCTTAGATCTCTCCCTTGCTCAACTAGTCATGTGATTCTGGCTAAGTTATTTTCCTTCTTTGTGATCTAGTAAAAATGTAGATAATTAGACTCTATACTGCAGTGTTTTAGGCCAGCTTATATTGTTTAATGTGTGCTGTTCTTCATTTATAGTAAATATATAATATATTATGACAAATTATCGTGTTCCACCCTGGGAGTTTTGGGGGCAGGGGGGGGTGTCACAGGTGGAAGAGGACAGTGCATTAGTGCATTATGCCTGGAGTTGATAGCAACTCCACTAGGACTCCAGATCCTATACTGTTCTCAGCAGAGGTGTGGAGCCAGCTTTGCACTTTATGGTTCCCACATTCTCCATCATGGACCCATGGACACAGTCCAGTGCTCCCTGCTCGAAGTGCTCTATTGTGTCATATACTTTACTTTCAGAATCAGAGCCTGCATCCTCAGTGATGTAAAAGAAACTCGTGGATAAACTAAGAGTTCAGTGTATGTAGAATCTGAGAAACAAAGGGGGTGTATAGGTTTCAGTTGATTCTACTTTGGAAGGCAATGTGGGATGAGGAGGAAGCTCACAGCACTGGAAAGCAGTTATTTTTTCCAAAAACTTCCCTCATGCACATGGGCACTCATTATATTTGAATAACAGCAACACTACCCTCCTCTGGTTGAAATTTCTAGTCTATGTGCTTATTCTTCTTGGTCTCTGACCCCAGTGAAGTTTAAAGCCATAGGCACACATTTGCCCAATTTATGTATCAGGGAACTCAAGAGATGACAGGCAGACCTCGTTTCGTTGTGCTTTGCGTTATTATGCTTCACAGATGTTGCACATTTTTCAAATGGAAGGCAAGACATTGCAGGCTTCTTCCCCCATCACCTTCTGCTGCTATTGGGAGAGAATAAGGGTGGGGGGAGGAAGACATAGTGAATGTGAATGTGTTGGCCAGTGTTAGTCCCCATCACATGCTCTGCCTGGGAACATCCCTCAACATCCTCACACACTAGCATTACTGCCGAAGGGAAGCCCCTCTCTTGGCCAAGCCCTCGGGTGGACCAGGAGCAGCTGACATTTTGACGGCCAAGCATTTTGGAGTGGAAGTTGAGGGCAGTGCCTTCCTCCTCACTGGTGCCTTGTGCAGGGGTCTGGCTTCCGGCCTGGGCCTCTGTGCAGCTTCTCCTTTCTTGCTCAGCTCTCAGGACTTCAGCGTAGGCTCTCCAGCAGCCCCTCTGTCTGCTCGGGGAGGGGCTGGAGAGGCGAGACTTCCCTCCCGCCTCTGCACTGTTTGGAAGCACATGGAAGTGGGAAGAGCTCTTGCTCTCTGTGCAGATGAGCGGTGGGGACCTGCCTGGCAAGCTGCTCCTGAGCTGCTGGCTCCAGGCTGATTCCTTAATCCTTGGCAGGAAGGCAGAACTTGATACCCAGAAGAGAGAGAACTGGTGCCCAGTTTATCCCAAGTCCTGGAATACCCACACTCCGGAGGGTGTGTTAGGGGTGAGTTTGGGTTCCCTAGAGTTCCAGATTTAGACACTGCCTCTGTGTGTGAAAGTCCATATGTGTGCTTTTAGGCGTGCTGTTGCTATGTCTGTTAACTTAAAGGCACACAAGTTCAAGGGCACATACATGAGAGCTATAAATACTCCTAATTCAGATGTCCCTTGGGTTGCTTTTTTAGTGACAAGTGAGATCTGTTTTTCATTTGATACAGCCCAGCAGCTGTGGCTGCCCTGCAAGCCCTCCGGACGCCCAGGGAAGCACTTCCCCTGCAGAAGGGAATCTCCACGGGAGGCAGCCGCAGAATTCCCCTTGCCCTGCCTACTGCACTTCATGGGGCAGCACCCAGGGGCCCTGTATAATGGGAAGGGGGGAGAAGGGGAAGGGGAAGGCCAGGGCAGGCTCCTCCCATCCTCCGGCAGCGTTCCTTACACTACCTTCCCAGGTAGAGGTAGACTTTACCCAGATGAGGAAATGGAGAGTGAGTGGGCTATGGAAAGTAGACAGAGATGTGATTAGGAAAAAAGTTTTCTTTACTTTGGAGGGGGCGTGCAGGGAACATCCATAGCGCTTAGGAAGTTCCCACTTGCCACGAGGTCCCTGCAGCCCCACATTACATCCATGAGGGCCCAGGGAGCAGAGTTTAGGAGGAGCCACAGGCTTCCTTCCAGACACCAGCTGCAACAGGTGAGATGCTGGCACTAAGCATCCTGGTTTCCCTTAGTAACCTACTGTAGATTT